GTATGTCCTTGATGAAGGAACATTGGCTCAGGCAGCTGGTGGCAATCATTTGATAGCTGTTATAAAGAAGCCTGAAAACTATGAAAAACTTTCCAAAGCATTGACAGACATCCGAAAAGATGTAGAATCTTTAAAACATTTGTCAGTGGGAACAGAGCAGTTTGAAATTGAGTGGTTCCTGGGAGGGGATTGGAAATTCCTTGCATGTGTTTGCGGTCTTGGTGCTGCCCATGCTACATACCCCTGTATTTGGTGTAAATGTCCCTTATATGACAAATATGATGGAAGAAAAGAATGGTCTCTCACTGATGTCTCAAAAGGAGCACGTTCAATTGAGGAGATTCAACAACAAGTGAATACAAGGTCAAGAACAGTGGAGAAGTACAATTCTAAACATGCTCCACTTTTTCCCTCAATTCCCATTGATCATGTTGTCATAGATTCACTGCACCTTTTTCTTTGAATTTCTGACAACCTAATTAACCTCCTCATTCAAAAGCTGCGACATCAAGATGCACTTGACAAAAACAAAACTTTTCATGATGGTTTTGAGAGATCAAAGTACAAGCACATAGCGGGCTGGGAGACCTATCTCAATGATACCCTCAAAATTCCCTTCAACTGGTTTGTATGTAAGGATTCAAAGAAATTGAAATGGCGGGATCTAACAGGCCCAGAGAAACAGAAATTCTTTAGGAACACTGATTTCACTAGAGTATTGCCCAATCACCAGAAATCTGATCAAATATCACAGTTGTGGAAACAGTTTCTAACAATTACAAACTTGTTAAGTTCCACTATTCCTCAACTGAGCAAAGAAGAAATTCAGGAGGCATCAAAATCTTTTCCGGAACAGTTTTTGAAATTGTATCACACTAAGCATGTTACTCCCTACATTCATGCACTGGTATGGCATGTGCCTGAGTTTATAAAAATGTATGGTACTATCAGCTCCTTCACTCAGCAAGGTCTAGAGAAACTTAATGACAAAACAACAAAGGACTTCTTCAGATCTACCAATCAATGAGGAATGGTTGCGTTAAAACAAATTGTGCAAAAAAGGAACAGAATTGAATATTTCGAGAATCTTGGCAGCCAAAGAGGCACAAGAAGTGTTACTTGTGGAAACTGTAGTTTAGAGGATCATAATATTAAGACCTGTTTATCCCCATGTAGCTCATGTGCATTTAAACCATGTTGTTCTCCCTTACATGTAATCAAATCAAATAGCAAATGGGTTAAGAAAATGTCAAAATGAGAATATATTGGTTTAGAGATAGATGTTATGAAGTACCTTAATAAATTGTTGTTATTGTTATATCAAATAAATACTTTTGTTCCCTAAATTGTACACAATACAAACACTAACAAATGATTATAATCTGTTATAAAAACTTGTCATAGATAAAGCTGAGATAGTGCCTATATCCCCTTGAGGAATAGGGATTATTCTTAGCAATGGGCAACAACTCATTCTCTTTGGTCAACATTAATGCATTACATGTTTGATACTGTCAGAAACATTGTGACTACTACTACTGTTAGGATGGGGGCGATTTCCACTCATTGCTGTTGTATT